CAAAAGGGTGAGTCAAGTTGAAATGGCAACATCCTTCTCTAAATTTTACCTTCGGGTGGCTCACCAAAGGGTGAGTCGACTTGGCAGGGCAACATCCTTCTCTAAATTTTACCCCTGCACTGCCCACACAAAGGTGTGAGTCAAGTTGAAATGGCAACATCCTTCTCTAAATTTTACCCCTGCGTCAACCAGTGAAACACACGTGAAAGCACAGACATGAGAGCACATAAACGAAAACACATATTCTTTGTTGAGGGAATGGGTCACGACAGAGTGACAACCAAAGTGAGGGCATGAGTGACTAAGTCAGCAAAGAAAGAAGTAAGTAAGTGGCCAATTATATGGCACCCCTGTTCATATTGAATAAGACAAGGGAGTTTGTGAGGAATCACCCTGAAAAAATATCATTGTGGCAGGTGATTGTAAACAGATCCCACCCATAAAGGACTTGACAAATGGTATGACACATGAAGAGTATTCAGACCATTGTATGGGTTCCATTCTTAAATGTAGTATTTTCCTGAAGATATGTAAGAGAGTGGGAGGGAAGGGCGCCGAAGAGGGAGAAAAGAACAGGGCAGTGTTGGATGATTTGTATGTTGACTACTGGCTAAAGAAGTTACCCATAAGAGACATCATTGAGAAATACTTCATTGATACCGACAACGTTATGACATCTGATAGGCACATAGCATACACCAACTTGAGATGTAAAAGTGTAGCAAATAGGGTCAGGGCATTGTTAGATTTTAAAAAAACATGTACGTATGAAATAGGTGAAGAGTTGATACGCCGTCTTTATCTGGACAAGGATGGTATGAAATCTAATGTGATAAAGTTATAAATATAAACTCCTGCATGATTACAATACAAATTATCAAAGAAAAACAGAAGACATATTGCGCTACTTGTCACAGTTGTCAAGGGGCGTCCATCAAATCAACAATCACCATCCACGAATGGGAGAAAAAGAATCTCGTCACTAGGGAGTGCTTATGGACATGCATCACTAGAGCAACCGATTTCAGGAATGTTTACTATTTCAAGAACGATTCTGATGATGATAGGATACATGGTTTACCGTTAAGCAACTACTTGAAGAAAAACATAGATGGGCATAAGGTTCAGGACTTCAAGGCAGGAAGACACACCAATGCCAGGAACTATGTGAACGTGCGCTGGTGCTAGAGAGACTGGCTGAGTGCTGTCAGAAGTGCGGTGGGTTTTTGAGATAGATGACAAAAGGGAAATCAAGTAGCACTGTTGCCGTGCAACGTTTTGACAATGCCTATTGCCATTCCAAAGATAACTGCGTGGCATACTGTAGATACTGTAATTGTAGTTCTAAATAATCTCTACTTTAGATATATGTCATCTAAACAAAACAGTTTTTCTGATATATATGTTGACAGAAGTGGTTTTGGGAGCAAGGCTGTGACCTTGCAAGATGCCAGAAAAAAGGGATAGGACTACAAGCAGTTCCCGGGCAAGCCGGCGGCGGAAGTTTCCTATAAGAACAAATTGACCTATAGGAGTCGGTTCTCTCAAACACGCGCGTCCCCCAGTCAAACGCACGCGCTCCGGACTTTTGATCAACACAGCGCCACCTGTGCAAGGTCTGTGCTTCCTGCAGGATCAGCAGCTCACAACAGCGTACCGGGTTGTGTCTATGGCAAAGCAAGATCAGCAGCCCACACCGGCGTGCTGAAGCAACTGGGCAGCTACAAACTTACCTGTTGACAAAACAATCAACTGTAACCAGTGTTGGGTTATGATGAGTGGTGTATGATGAGTGATGTATGATGAGTCTTGTATGATGAGGAGTGTATGACGAGTGGTGTATGATGAGTGGTGTATGTTGAGCGGTGTATGATGAGTGGTGTATGATGAGTGGGCAGCGAGAGATGACTCAGCAATGAGAGATGACTCAGCAACCACAGATGACTCAGCAGCGAGAGACGACTCAGTCGCGAGAGATGACTCAGCAGCGACAGATGACTCAGTCGCAAGAGATGACTCAGCAGCGGGAAATGACTCAGCAGCGAGAGATGACTCAGCAGAGATGACTCAGCAGGGAGAGATGACTCAGGAGCGAGAGATGACTCAGCAGCGAGAGATAACTCAGCAATGAGAGATGACTCAGCAGCGAGAGATGCGACAGATGACTCAGTCGTGAGAGATGACTCAGCAGCGAGAGATGACTCAGTCGCGAGAGATGACTCCTCCGCGTACTAAAGTTGTACTGCAAAATAGCCTCAGCTTCCAGCTCCACAGGTTGCTCCGCATACTAAAGTTGTACTACATAGTCGCCAATTCTCAGCCTCCAGCTCCCCAGATACTCCGCGTACTAAAGTTGTACTACAAAGTGGCCAGTTCTCAGCTGCTAGCTGCACAGGTTGCTCCGCGTACTACAGTTGTACTACAAAGTCGCCAGTTCTCAGCCTCCAGCTCCCCAATCACTCCGCGTACTAAAGTTGTACTACAAAGTCGCCAGTTCTCAGCGTCCAGCTCCACAGGTTTCTCCGCGCACTAAAGTTGTACTACAACGTCGCCAGTTCTCAGCTTTCAGCTCTACAGATTGCTCCGCGTACTAAAGTTGCACTAGAACGTCGCCAGTTCTCAGCTTCCAGCTCTACAGATTGCTCCGCGTACTAAAGTTGTACTACAAAGTCGCCAGTTCTCAGCTTCCAGCTCTACAGATTGCTCCTCGTACTAAAGTTGTACTAGAAAGTCGCCAGTTCTCAGCTTCCAGCTCTACAGATTGCTCCGCGTACGCTGAGCGAGACTTATCTAAGTCTGCAATGCCAAATAACTTCTGGGCTGCCAAAGGCATCGTTCTGCGAGTCAGGCTCTGCGCATGGGAATAGGAATCGGTGAGCTAACACTGCGGCCGAAATGAAGTGTCTGAATGCCCCTGGAAAGAATCTCGACCTATCCAGAACCCCACTGTTACACGGGGCCAAGCCCTTTTTTGGAACTAAAACGTGTTGTTTACAGCTAGTTGCTGTTGCTGCCCTTGCTCATAGGCAACGAAAGGTCTCAGCCGCACGCCAACGCAAACAGCTTCTTTGTCTGTCATCGGAGTGGCGCAAGCGGCATGAATAAAGGTGCTATATAGGTTAAAGGTGTATATATTAATAAATAAATGCAATATTTTTAAAAAAGTATATATATATATATACAAATGACATCATATTTATATATATATATATTATTATAATATATTTATATAATATACACTTGTGTTTATAGAACTCACACCTGTTCAAACTACGATTGCCTGGAGTAGAAGCAAGGCACGTGTCATTGCGCTGCCCTACCCTGAATGTTACACTAAATGTTCGTGGCACTGCATCTTGTGGAGGTCGCGAAAACATCAATACAAACCCGCAAAGCTGGAGCCCCAAATGCGTCGGAAAGTTCCAAACAAAGCAAATGCATCAATCCACATAACATATCATAAAACCCTTGGTGTACGTTCCTGCATGTGCCAAAACACCCAAAGGAGTATGCTATTTGGCACCCAATTGGTCCTTGGCCTCATTAGCAAGAAACAAAGCCTCAGCAGGCTCCCAAACTCATGAACTCATGCATCCAAAAGAAGTGAAGCCATGGTCCCATACCCGTTTTGCGTGACAAAACTGTGCAACTCGACCTATTCTGCTGGAACCAATCAGCGGACAGGATTGAAAGACAAAAACGGCTGAATCTATGACAGGGCTTCCGTAAAAGACTGCCTCACACATCTTGACTGGTTTGTCAAATTCAAATGTTTTGGCGTGTTTGGACCGATATCAAAAATATCACCTCCATGACATGTCACCGACTGATTGCCTTGAAAGAAGCTGGGGCTGGGGTAGCAACACAAAAAAAACACCCCCGCAAAGAATCTGTCAGTGCCGGCGTGTCTAATTGATGTTGCTGTTGACAGCCTTGAAATGCTTCCCTGCATCTTGTTTCTTGTTGAGAGTCATGCCAACGAGTTGGAAGCCTGGGCACCAAGCGCTCAAAACATTTTGACGTTGCACATGCTGTACCTCTACATCAACCAGCTTTCGCACCCACCAACAGGCTTCTACATGCACAATTTTTACTTCAACGCCCTCTTACTTCAACAAGTTTTTCACTAACTGGCTGCCCTGGCTTTGTAGCAAGGAAAGTCGGTGAAGAAGCCACGTGTTCCGCAAACCGCAAGTCAGTTTGATCAGCATGAGCGGAATGACTCTCAAACGGGACAGTGCACTCTGTCAGAATATGCGAGAATGTTGTTGAAATATTGTGGTGCTCGATTATATTCATGATATACGTCCAAGAGGACACGTCCCTTCTTCATGTCATGAGGTTCAAGGATGCAGTGCTGTGGGAAAGGCTAGGTTGGTCTCCAAAGCACCCGGCTTGTGTATTGGATCAAAAGTTCAGATTGGCTCGATGAAACACATGATCTGGTCTTATATAGATTGTTTGATTACACCGTCCGTTCCGGAGGATTTGATTCTTGATCAATCTTGATCAGGTGACAGTTCTTTGCTGGTTTACCTCTGGGCTTTTGCTTGTAGCTCACCCTTTGTTATGCGGCTGTCTACCTCTAAAAAGCGGTCACAGCAAGGGGGATGAACCTGATGCTATCCAGAGTCTAGGGTTCTGATCAGGAACAAACTGGCAAGCTCCAAAACCAAAACGAGATGTCCCTCCGACGCCAGCAACAAATCCCCGGGAAGAGGGTTGAATGTTGGGTTCAGCAGGATCGACCACCAGCTAACTCCAGCTTCATCCCTGAAAGGTGACTACGGTGCGTTGTGACAGGGTTATGACAGCGCTATTCATTTTCAGGAACCAGGCGGTTCCTTCGTGTGGTCAATCAAAGTCCTGGCCTGGCTTGCCTGGCTGACAGGCACTGATGCAAAGACCAAGCAGCAAGATCCTTTATCAGCAATCGCTCAGGTTGCGTAAGGATCGTAAGGCGTAAGGCTTTCCTTATTGACTAAATGAACGCAAAAAATGTCGAGTGACTCAGGGCAATTGCGGGAGCCAATGTCAAACGGGCAGACTGTAGAGACAGCAGTCGCACAAGTTCGGCCAAAAAAGCACATGATTCCACATGATGCAAGGTGCGATGAGGATTTGAGCCTTTGAGTTTACTTGATGCTGCTGCCGCGTTTTGCTGAACATGGCTGGTGCGAAAACACGACAAAACAAATCAAGAACCAACCTTTGCAATATCAAATTTCTTCCACCCGCCCAAGCGTTGAACCACGGTACACACATACATCATCATACCTCAATGTCACAATGTCACAATACTAATGTGATAGTACGCCTGCTGTCGTGTGCGAAGTGTTGTCCAGTCTTTGTTTGCTAACTCACACTTGCTTAAGTTACAGGGTCTGCTCTTGAACGCTCATGCCTTTTATCCTGGTGCCCCATCAGAGTTGACTTCCTTCAATCCCATCACTTCCTCAAGCTCTTTTAGTAGCCTTTCAGGGCCATACTGACGGAAGGCACGAACTGTGAGGAGAGTTCCCACATCTAAAGAGCGAAGTCGATGCTTCAAGGACTGGACGACGGACAAACGAGCAAAGCGAGCCTGCCGAGCACCAAGTGCACTTGCACGTGGTTCGCTACCAGTCTGGTGCACTTCTAGTGCAAGTTGCACCTCTGGCCGTTTGCTGAGCATCTCGCTAAGCTCTCCAAGTGCTTGCAAGGCATCTATCCACTCTTCCAATGCAATACCCTTCAATGCAGAAACATTATCTCCATTAGCCGCAGAACTCCCCACAGGATTCCAAGCTGAAGCGTCCCTTGTTGTGCCAATCGTTTCCTCCAAAGAGCCCCCCTCTGTCACAACATGTGTTGCAGCTTGCCAGTCTATGAGCTGCTGCTGTCCTTGAAGTAAACGCTCATCAACCAAATCTTCAACACCCACGGCCGTCACAGAACACATGCCTCTCCAGTTTGGCTTGGGAGCTTTCACCTGGGTGACACCAATGAAAGCGGGCAAGACCAATGAGAACAAAACACTTTGAGAACGCCACTGAAATTGGATTGGGGAGGGCACGGGAGGGCTACTTTTTACCAGCGCCTGGGCAATGAAGTTTGCACCGGCCCGTGGTATGCCATGGGACTTGCCATGGGTTGCATATTCCTTTTGAGCAGCTTCACTGAAGAACATGTCAAAGAGCTCATCCTTGTTAGCCCTGACTTTCTCAACTCGCTCCACGCCGTTGCGGGCAATAATTCGTGAGGCGTCAGGACCATCCGCGCTTTCAGCTGCTTCTCGGGTTCGAAAGTCAGACGCCCAGAAGTGGAATGTTAGGAGGCCTTGTTCGCCCGAGGCTGCCTGATTTGCATGACCCTCGGCACATCCAAATAGCTGGTCAACATCAAGCAAGACATAGCGCAGAACTGGCCGTGCATCCGGTACAGCTGCATCCAGGGTAGAATGCGATAGGAAAGCATCAAACAAATTTTGATTGTCGGTGTAGGGATTGATGTATATCTGCTTCAGAAACAGAGTGAAGAAAGTCAAGGTCCGGTATGATGCGCGGACGTAGAACAAACCGTTGTTTAGACATCTGGCATCCCAATGCTCGGTCACCAACATCTCTACCCCTTGGTAATCCAGAGGAGAATCAGGAGTTGTAGTTGTCACGTTGAATGCCCAGTGCTGCCTGGCACCATTGGTACGAGACCCGAACGATGCAATTATTAGCGACAGAGTATGTCAACTTCACATTGCCAGAGCCTAGGATCGCATATTTTGGACAGATTGCACAGGTCTGAGGCGTTGTAGAAGAGAAAGGAGCCAAAGCGCACCTCGGAACATAAACGGATTTTCTCTGCAACTAGAGGAGCCCGCTGGTGTTGCACGATCGAGAAAAAAGACGTAGCACTAGAACCACTGACAGACGTTGCTGCAATTCAGCTAACAGACCCTGGAGCGTTGCGGAAGCACTTCATGAGGAGAATCGCGAGCTGAAATAAAGGCGTGCGATGGGTCCTCGAACATGAAAATATAGTTTGTTGCAACTTCGTGTGTCTTATATAGTTAGAGAGATCTTCAAGGTCTACTATGCTGTGACATCTGGTTGGCCTGCAGGATAAAGGTGTCAAAGTCAATCCATACTGCATCCACGGCAGCACTCAGAAGAACCGGCAAGAAGGCATGTTTGATGAATATCACGTGTCCTGCTCAAGCAACGGAACATATTCTCCACAGAGTGAGTGACTGTGCAAAACACAAGTCTGCAGCACCCATTGCACTGTGTTGCCTCACTGAGTACAAGTACTGACCTTCCAAGCTATGCAACTATGCACATCAAATTTGGTTGCACCAATCAACTGGATTTGTTTGAATGCACGTCTGAACATAGGTCCTTCCGTTGCCGAAAGGCACAGCACATGGTCGGACCCAGGTTCTGAGCAGCCAATGAGACAAATTTGCAGCTGGTCTGCTGAGCTAAGAGCAGCTACACATCAACTTGCTCAAGGGACTCAAGGGCTCTAATTACCACCCAGCTGCTTGAACTTGCAGCAGCACCGCTTGTGCCCTGCACGACCTGTGAAGATCAAGTGGCACCACATGGCTGACGAAATCAACAACACCACAATCAGCAAATCAGCCAAATGTCCTGCATGCATCTTTCCAACGCGATCGCATCCATACAAGCGATAATCAATGCAGAGATGCCAACCACAAAAGCTCTGTGCACGAATCCTGCGAGCCGTTACCGAGCTTCAGCGCTGAATTGTTGCAACCTTGAGGAAAAAATATCTGCACCAAGCTGTCATATCTAAAGTTCTGAAGGCTCCCTTACAGTGTAGGCCTGCACATTTCTAGCAGCGTTATACTTGCCGGAAGGGGGTGCCATCATAAACCCCAAGTCAGCTTCAGCCATGCTGCTGCCTACAGTTCCTCATCGTTTCTTGTGGGGTCAGCGGTCTTCTCCGACAACTGCTCATTTGCACCAAGGACCTTTTGGACTAATATTCGACATCAAGTTTGATCGATGTCTTTACGTAAGCCACTATGTGTTGACCTGTCGGGTCAACACGCATGACACACACAAAGGTGTGTATTGCTAAGTTTCTAAATTCCGGTCGGTTGCCGGTAAAAAAGGCTTATAAGTTTTTCACAGATGGCACATATGCTCAAATCGATTCGTGTTACCCTGATGGGTTCCAAGTATATGCGTCCATGAACGTGTGTATATCAGATTGATTTTGGACTGCTGTCTGAGGATCCACTTGGAGAACACATCTGGGATGAGCTGTTTCATGGACACCAAACAATACTGGTTTCTGTGATCCAAGCAAGGGTTATACTTGGCACCAAAAAAGCATACACGGCAACTCAACATGTAATAGCATGAATAGAAAGTAACAAACATAGGCATTTGTGCACAACAAGGGATACTGTTTCACACACTGAACATATGCGCGCATCACCACATGTTAAACCTTAATCGTCACAAGCACACTCGTCCGTGAAAGTGTGTATTTCTTACTGATGTTGAAATACTGTCTGAGGATCCGTGTGGAAAGCACATCTGTGATTCTGCGGTTAGCTATTTCATGGACACCAAGCAACATAGATGTCTGCGATCCAAAGGATGAGGCTTAAAAACATAATTTGTTGTGCAAGCGTTGGACTCTTGCAAGGATACTTTTTTAAAACAAAGAACTATCTTACACTTACATGACACACAACAACTCAGCACATGTATACAATAGCACCAATATAAGAGTAAAATAACATGTGCGCACACACAAGAAGTGAGAGAATGTCCGAAAACAAGTGGAAGAACACACCTGCGTGTATACCTAACAAATACCTAGTCATATGTCATATGAAAGTAACAGCAGCCCTGGGCATACACATGCTGTGGCCGCCATGGACAAAGTTGGAGCGCGAGCTGCAATTGCCTTGGAAGCATTGCAAGAAGCAGCAGGGGCAGTGCTGCGCTATGGAACTGAAAAAGAGGCACAGAAACACCCGGCATGTGGAAAGAGGAAGAATGCATTTGTTGAAAGCCGGACAAATAGTGTAAGTTGCTCAGAGTTGCTCATTTATACTATCGAAAGCGGTGTGCATGATGTTGCTGTTGCATACCATGATACTTTACTGAGCTATCTCTTTAGGGTTGCCCCCCCTATCAGTATTGCATATCTTGCAAGTTGCAACCGCACAAACTCATGGCAGAGCAAAGTCGCGGTAAAACATTGAATGCCAACAAGTATATTAAGCATCCATCCAGTGGTGGCTCTTGGCAGGTGGCCGCCTTCCAGAAGAGCTGCATTTGCTTGCAAGAGCTTACTCAGGCACGGATGGGGAAACATGACATGTGAAGGACGCCTATGAAAGCCCAATTTCGCCAGAATGGACCCCAGATAGCAAAACCAAGCCACGCACTGGGCAGCGACAGCCTGCAGCGGCACCATCACCTCGTGCGCAGGACCCCCAATGGCTTTAGCTTTCCAAGCTCCAAAGCGAACGCGGCCATACACATCTGGCAGCAGCACACCGCAACCTCCAAAGCGCACACAGGCACCATTTCCTAAAGTTGATTTAAGAACCCCAACCGACCCCAATGCAATAGGTTTCGCATACAGAATACAGACATTTGGTTTGTCATGTGGCCTGTCAGGCTGACAGAGATGAAGCCTGTGAACAGGAGGCGAGATTGAGACCGTCCGAAATTCATGGTGTCGGACGGCCAGTGTATTCATTGAGGCAACTTGTGAGCTTCACTGCATTGCGTCTAAGCGCGCACCTGTTTGATTTGCGATGTTTGATGTGTGGCAAACAAGGTTTATCATAACGCACGCCCATTGCCTGCACATACAGGTCAATACATGTTTTCTACAAAGCCATACAGAAGCTGAACCTTGTGAGAAAATCAAACTTGAGTTGTTTAAGTTTGAGTCATATGTCATATATGTTCTATTCCTAGTCCTGGATTGCGCCTGTGTTTGTGCATCTAAGGAGCAATCAGCTGCGGTCGTCCAAAAAGTTTCAAGCTGCCATGAACACTGCGGCAGGAATCGCTTCAGGTGATTTCAATCGTGTTTTAGAAGCAGCAAAATCAAGGTTTACGAGCATGGAGTTAGCAAACGACCAAGCAGATGGTTTGTTAGATGCTAAGCTCAGTGGGCCTGGGGGGGCAACACTGAAAGCCAAGTACAAGTTAGACCTATTACTTATGCTATGTCGCCAACAAGAATGGTTGCAAGCTGGTATGAAGAGCAAATGGATCTCTCTTTGCATCTAGGATTGGATTGGACTTGGACAGTTTCAGAGGTCAACTGTAACCCCCTTTGTTTTCTAGTTGTTTTCTAGTATAGACATTGTATCGCCAGAAGTTTTTAAGTTGAGGCGCAGACAGCTCAGAACAACGGAAAAAGCTGTTCATGACAGAGGAATTCTCAGCGTCGACGCTTGTGCAAAAGTCAAGTGTCGGCTGTGTCCAGGTTGAGGCTGATGTAGCAGTACCACCAACAATGACCGTCTTCGTTTTTAAGACACGCAAACTATTTAACCCAAATACTGGACCCTGGACTTTTTTTCAACTACACTTTCATTGTGTCAGTGACAAATAATCTGCAGGATGGGTGTCAGTGGAAAGAAGAGAATATTTAACCGTTGAACCTAATAGCGATGGCCTCCAACCTAAGAGCGACAGCCTCCACCCTAGTAGCGATGGCTTCCAACCTACTAGCGATGGCCTTGTGTTGGTTCAAAAGTGCATTGCGCATCAAGCATGATCAGGTGTGCAGACGTTCTGGCAAGTTTCGACGCAGAGTTGAATGAATCTTGGCACGAGGGCTATCGTGTGGAAAGAAGACCATTGCCGGTGGTGTCTCTTGGCAAAGGAGAATGGGTGGGGGGTTCTGCAGGATATTGGCAGGTACCCAGGTAGAACTCTTAGCTGCTTGCTAGCAACTAGATAGCTTATGAACACCAATGATGTTATTATTGTTATTGCTGTTGTGATAAATGGCTTTCGCTTTGTATTAAAGAGTTCCACAAGACTCAGAAAGTATGTGACCAAAACAAGTCAATTTGCATCTTGTTTGCAGGATATACGACTCTGGTATCAAAGGTTGACGCGTTGCTGTGGGTCCTTCAACTTGAGCTACCCAATGCTGTTTGCCGAAATGGGGACAATCCTGACCGCCAAACCCTGCTTGAGCAATATGCGCAGCAAGTGGTATCTTTCACGTCTGATCAGGGAGTTGAGTTTGGATTTGGTTCTTTACCTCAGTTGGCAGTAAACCCTTTGGTCTCTGAAGCAGCTTCCATCCTGGAAACAAGGCCCGTTCAGTCAGAAGCTTTGGAGGATGAAGACCAACAGCGTCATGTACCGGTGATGGAACGCCAGGTGCAGGTGTTGGAACATCAGTTGCAGCCAGTGCATGAATGCATGCATTTGTTTGTGAACTCGTTCCAAATTGCTGGAATCAAACATGTTACTGATAACTTGCTGAAGAGCGTGACATCACACATGGCGTGCTGGGAACCACTACTGGCACAGCTCAAGGGGATAGAAAAGTTGGTTTCCAGAGTACAATACCGAGAACGGTTGACTGCTGTGCTCATGCCAGAAGGGCATCCTGATACATTGTTGGTCCAGTCATTCAGCGCAAAGTTGGGAGGATTGCGTTGGCAAGTTGTTGTTGACTTTTGCATCCAGCTGCTGACCATACAAGATCATTTGATACAATACTGGGACCTCAAGAAGTTTCTGGCAGGAGCATCAGGTCACGGAAGGTGTTGTTTGGCAGCAGATTTTACAGATGCAGATTCGGCCATCAGGTCGTCAATATTTTGGGGGCGGGTTGGCGTTGTATCACAAATAGCGTTGGAATGCGAGTTTGTTGGACGGTGGGCTGGCGGGTGCCCCTGTCACGAACCACTGTTGAACCACGAACCCGCAAGTGACCGAATGATATGCAGCCGAGCATTTGCTGACGACAACTTCAAATGTCCGCGGAAAGGTTGCAGAGCTGCCAAATTGGCCTGTGGTCAGGGGCTGCAAGTTCAGTTGCGGCTCATGACCCAACAGTGTGGGCTTGTGCAAGGCCATTTTTCAAGAGTTGCTGGAAACAAGTGTGCGCAAGATGAGTTACATGCTGATTGGGCCTCGGCACGCTCTCGACTTTTCGGATACAAGGGTGAATTAGCAACTTCATTGTTTGCTTTTGCTTTATACCATTCACAGTGCGTGTGACATTGTGTCCCAAATAGTAGCTGTTTTGTTGTTCTTGAATCCTGGTTGCTATACCGGCCCTACCGGGGCACTACCGACTACCGACTATCTAAAATGAGTGTGACAGTGTGGTTGTTGGTCAAACATGGAAAACCCGGAGGTGTTGCGCGTTCACGCATTAGGCTATCACACGGAAGGTTCCCACCACCTTTATGGCTTTTGACCTTGTCAGGTTGTGTCTGCTTTGAGCAGGTGTTTGTTGACAAAAGTCCTGCGTCCTGCAACAAAATTTGAACTCGCCCGCCTGCCCCAGTGTGGGTGTGACAGTTGCAGCTTCTATCCCTATCCTTCCACCCCAAGTGGTGGCCTTTGTTGAAGGGGGCCCAGGGTTGGTGCTAGGCCTGGGGTACATCTAGTCAAGCACTTCCCGCTGCACTTCCCTTGGAGTTGAAGCGGGGCCAGGGCTTTAACAAATTTGGATAAAGTGAAGGGGTGAACCGGGTGAACT